TGCAGCATCTCCTGTGAGCATGCGCTGATTCACTGGCGGTACCGGTGTATCGTCGGGTTTTCTCGGCTTGTAATTTCACTGAGTTGTTCAAGGACCTGGCTAAGTTACGATGGGTTGCTCTGCTAGAAACGCGGAACAGTGTCAATGAGAAATACGAGCTATTTCTGTCCATTCTCCACAGTGCAATAGATCGATATGTCCCCTGGAGACTCGTATCATCTTTCAAGTCCGTTCGCCTACCGAGGCATCTACAAAACATGATGGAGCACAGAGAATGTTTGTTTCTTGAGGCAAGACGCTCTGGCGATTGGTCCAGATATAAAGAGTTCACGAGGACGTTCTTGGTTCATATTAAAAGGTATAACAGCAACATCGAGAAGAGGATCGTCAAGTTCCAGAACAGTAATAGCTTCTATAGGTACTTGAACGCCAAAATCCAAGACAGGAGGTGCGTCGGTTGTCTGAAGTGTGGTAACCTAGCTGCCTTCACTGAGCTCGATAAAGCAAATATGTTAGCCGAACATTTTGGGAAAACTTTCATAAAGGATAATGACATTGTTACTTCATTACCCAATTCTGCTGTGCAGCCTGTTCACTCGATGGGAGATGTTCCGTGGTTTCTAGCAGAGGAGCTCTATGAACAAATACTCAAATGGCCCAACTCTTCTTCTGTTACCCCCGATCTCATACCACTCTCCTTTATCAAGAAAGTAGCTTGTTTCATTAGTGGACCTCTCGCATACATTTTCAACCAATCACTTATGAGCGGGGAAGTCCCTAGGAGGTGGAAGCACTTCATAACTCCTATTCTGAAGAAGGAACCATCATCAGATCCTGGAAATTATCGGCCTGTGAGCATTACCTCTTTATTCTGCAGACTGTTTGAAAAGCGTCTTAAGGAGCATGTCATTAAATATACTCTTGGGTGTAACTTAATACCGAACCAGCATGGCTTCACCCCGGGACGTTCTGTTGAAACCAACATGATTGAATGCCTTGATGAGTGGACTAAGACCCTTGATAATAATGGGTGTTGTGATGTTATCTATTTTGATTTCGCCAAGGCTTTCGACAGGGTATCGCACGCAAAGCTTATCCATAAGTTGAAAGAATTGAAATTTCATCCTGTTCTTATTACCTGGATTACCAATTTCCTCACTGGTAGATCTTTCCAAGTAAGGGTTGGGAAGTGCTATTCCGTCAGTAAAGAGGTTTATAGTGGCGTCCCCCAAGGTGGAGTTCTGTCACCGGTGCTGTTTAACATCTTCACTGCAGAGATTCCCAGTTTGTTTCAGGGACTTGGCGTTTCGACCAAGATATGCAGATGATGTGAAAATTTACAAGAGGATTCTGGGACAGTCTGACTGTGAAGACCTTCAGAGAGCCATTGACCGCTTAGTAATTGGGCAAAAACATGGCAGCTTCCTCTCTCCCCTCATAAAACGCTTTGCATGAGAATTTCCTGAATTCAAGGAGCCACTTCCTTACCCGTACACCATAGACGGTGTTGCCGTTTCCCCAGTCAACTCTGTTAGGGACCTTGGCTTTCGTTATTCCAACACTTTAGACTTTTCCGAACATATCAAAAACCGATGTAACTCGGCTTTTCTCAGGACGCTTCACATTTTCAAGGGTTTGTCCTCTACCAACAAGTCTGTTCTGCTCAAGGCGTACAAAACATACGTTCGCCCTTTAGTAGAGACGGGAGCCGCTGTGTTCTTCCCACTAAGAAACGGGATGTTTTAGCCTTGGAGAAGGTGCAAAATAACTATACTCGTAAAATTCTTTTGCGAACCAGGAGCTTCCTGTATTCGAGGGTTCCCAAAGCTTCCATCAGGAACAAATACTTTGAACTTTCCACCCTTGAAACACGTCGGATGGTTGCGGATGTGTGCATGGTTTACAAGCTCATGTACGGGTCTAAAGGGTCAAATCCTCTCAATTTGTTTGAAATCCAGCATTCACGGACCAGAGGTGGGCAAGCTAAAATTCTCTTAGCCTGTCCGAGAACCAGAGTTAGAGCCGCTAGCTTCTCATTCAGAGCCGCGAGCACATATAAGAAGGTCACAAAGAATTTAGCTGTTCCCAATACTGTACGACAGCTTAAGAGGATTGTAGCTGCACGGCTACTTAGTTATGGAACATCCTAGTTGTTTGAGACTTGACTTTAAAATTTCCTAACCTGACCAGTAATGAATCTGTCCTAGTCTCGATCGAGTTGCCAGCTCGAGTCGCATCATTGCCCTTGCTATTGATTTGACCTTTCTCGATACCACTAGTGCAAAGCGCTATTTTCGGGGGGCTCGATGTTCATCTGTCTTGATTACTATTTTCAATGAGTTTCTTTCGTCGTTCTTTGTTTGTTCTATTCTCTCCCACGTTTGCCTTATGCAGCGTAATAAACATAACATAACATAACATTAGCATAACGAGGGAGAAGAATGGGGTTCATCAAGTCGCATCCATCCGCTAATCTGGGGAACGCCCCTAAAGGCTCCCTACTCATCACACCTCATTAAAAAAAGGGGTAAAGGCCCGGGGGGGGGTGGTGTTCCGTCGAGGGGAGGGGGGGAAGAGAAGGGTTTGCGCTTTCGTTTCTTTCATGGTAACAAGTCTAACTCGGGTGAGTCCTGTTACCTTGCAAGCTGCGAAACGAGTTTGCGATCAAGCCCACTTTTGTTACAGGGAACTAAAGCAGTTGACACGAATATATTTATACTCGGCCTAAATGCGTAGCAATTCCTAATAAAGTGGGGAAATGCAAAAAAAAACGGAGTTTAATTCGTCAAAAACCTGTTTCTGGAAAAAGCCTTCGCATCTATATGAGTCAAAAAAGATTCTCGGCGACGTAGTTTTCGTCGTATCATCCCTGTGAACAGCTTACTGTCAGGTATAGCTGCATTCACTAATACTCCGATACCATCCACAGCCAACCTCAATACACCTTCGCCCTTCATCACTTTTTAACCTTTCGCAGCTGACAGCAAACGACATGAGATAAGCAGTCGTCCATTTGTGGGCGGGCGGGTGCGCTGGCGTTCTGGTTGGTAGGTTGTAGAGTGGTAGGGCCTCATGAGGATACCTCCCTTAGGAACGGCGCACAGCGCCTGCTCAGGGTCGCGGAATTCCGTCTTGCGAGCACCCTGATGATAACTCATCTCATGGACTTTTCGTGCCAACTGCCTTTGAAGGTTTTCACATCACAGGTATTTTCAACGTGGATCACCTGAAGCAGAACCCTTGTGGCGCAACTCGTACCAAAATGGCATGGGGGCACCCTACAATAACAAAACGTGAATAATAGTTTCTAACAAATAACTGAGCGCTATTTGGCTAGGAGGGGTGGGAGTGGCCATTTCAGGCTTTCACTGAATTCTTTTTGATTGTTTACTAACAGGTCTTGTTTTCGTGGAACCTGTAAACTCTTGTGAAGACGAGGAAAGGTAAAAGGAATCATTTTAGCTCGAGGAATTTTAAGGTTCCCACGAAATCGCTCACACAATTTAGTGCCCCCACTGAGCCGGCCTGCATCGAAAAGTGCGTAAAGAAGCAATGGGGAAATCGAAAAAATTAAGTGGTGAAAATAATAACATTCAAAAACAAACACTGAGGGACTCGCACTTCCGTCGACGATGTTTTATACCAACTATCGAGCACTTCACTCCAGAAAAAGCTCGAGAATATGACCACAAACAGAGCAACCAGAATTGATAAGCGTTTGTTGAAGTATTTCCGCCACAACATAGGGAAAAGGCGAAATAAATGAGGGGAAACGGGCCTGTTTTCACTTGTTTAGCAGGCTCCTCATATTATATATTATATTCTATTTCATATTTCATATTAAATCCAGGGTATTGAAGATAATATCTCTTTATGCGTTGTATGCGTGCCACCACGTGGGTGAAACGCTCCATAGATAAAGGGACTGTTATGCACCGCACGAAGGAAGCCCCATTAGAAAGAAAATTGCTCGAAGCCCTCACTATCAAGCGGCTATCCCCCGAGATCAACAACAGGGAGGAGCTCATGGAAGCAATGAGGCTAATAGGATAGCGGTAGTGATAAAGAAATGTGTCAAATGTCACGCGCGTCACATTTCTAGCGACTTTTAGTTGCATTGGCAGTTGCGCTGGGGTAAGCTGGTCATCCATTGTAGTTTAATTGTTGACAGTTGCACGTTTCCCATTGTATTAGGATTGTATTACAGACTCTAACCAAATTGCCGTTGACGGGCAGGTCAACCTGGTTTGTATTTCGAGCAACTTAGTTGTTAGGAATTGTAATACCATGTATACTTGATTTCATTTAAGGTCTGACGAAGCTGTTAAGACAGCGAAAGCTCACCAATAAAGGTGTTTTGTGAACGAGTTCTCAATATCAAATTCACGAAGGAGATCGTATAACTGTGAGGCTCAGGGATAGCTCGATTTTATCATAGACAGCAAAGTTCAATCGGCTCAATAGGGGCATTTTATTAGTTCCCGCTGATCAGTACTGATGCATCCTAGAATGATCTGTACATTCCTGTGAATCCATGCAACACGAAATTTGTTCACACTTGACAACAGTCTACGAGTCTCACAAGGATGCGGCTTGATACTCACATCAGCAGAATTCAGCAAACTGGCGGGAGCTACTACCATCCCCCTTTTTTCCGCTCAAGCGGAACAGTACTCCTTTTTGCGTCGTTCGCTGTAATAAGTCGCGTTAATTGCACCAGAAATGCTGCTGGCTCTATGGTCTAATTATAACTCGAATTCTGCAGGCAATTCACGACTCTCCCCATTCCTTTCCGAGCAGACCACGCCCTATCTTGGGGAATCCCCCGAGAAGGGCATCGCATTTGGTCGATGGGGGAGGGGCCGCATATGGTCTGAGAAAATTTCTTTGAGGGTTGTTTTTTAGACGTTGGAAAAATTTCTCCTGCTAGCTGACTTTCCGCCGTTTTCCCCCTCGCCCCACCATTCCCCCTCTAGCTAGTGGCGCCGCTAAAGACTCTTGAGACTTCTCTCATAGTTCAAACTAGTAGTTTGTTGCTGACGAGCCATTCCCCTCTGTTCAACAGCCAGTTTTGGGAAAAACTAGAAAATTCTTCGGAAATTCGGTGGGTAGGGATAGGGGAATGCGTTGCTTTTCGACTTTTTTTCTCCAGCGGTAGGACGTACCCAGTCTCCGACGACTCGTATGCTAGTGTAAGGAAGTCGTAGTTTACAAATTCCCATTTTCACTCCAGTTTTTGCTCCAATTTTTGAGAAATTCATCTTGATGGGGATATTTACCTGGTTCCCATCGATTATTACCGATCCTGTGGAAACCTGTGAATTCTTGCAAGAGCGTTGCAATAGAAAGGGCATCGTTAACACTTGACAAACAGTCAACGGGTTTCACCAAAGTGAGACGTGTAAATTAACAAAAACTAGTCAAAGGAAATAATGGTAGTAAGAAAATCTACCACGCCCCCTCCAAAGCCAAGCAACTCCTAATTTTTTTATTGACTGGCTGTCATCGTAACACTGCGAAAAGATAGCAAGATATAAGAAAATCTTTATAAAGTACCTTTATTAACAAATAAATTAACGTGAGCGTACCATTGGCGAATCATAATGAAAGACGATAAACGAGGGTCAAATTAAGCCTATGGACATGCGCCTAACGGTCGTCCGAAGGGCCAAGAGAACACAGGGCGATTGTGCACCATCTATGTAGCCTCAATGATGTTGCTGAGGATTCTGAATTCGCGTGATGAGAGAGCTGAGGATGAGGAGATGAGACGGCGATGAGTGGCAGATTGCAATTGGAGGGGAATCAGCCTCTATTCCTGATCTGTTCTGCTTGCG